ATGCCAAAGGGAAAGTTAAGCCTGAGACTGCATCAAGCAACATTATCACCCTTCTTCTAAATGACAGCTGTTATCTCACAACCTTAGACCTTAGCCAGACCGCCACAGAAAGGAAACAGCCTCGGACATACCCCCATGACTGGCCCCACAAATCGTTCTTTGCTGGGCGAAACCTTTCAAGACGTGAATCTTAACATAAAACAAGGACACAGCAATTGTAACTAGAGGTCCGCAATCCAAGCCTCGCTCCTCACACTCACGTCTGTCAGATTCTCACTGATGGTGCTGATCTTTCCAAGCACCGCACAAAACAAGGCAAGGACGAGATGAGATCAGTCCTCCTTCTGCCTCGCCCGCTCCCTACATGCTTTCTCCTCTTTGAGGCAGTGAAGTTAATAAAAGGCTCAAAGGAGTGCAACTGCTTGCCTCTTTTAGCTCCCTTCCCCCTCTTTCTCTTCTCTCTTTCCCCTACTGCCTGCCCTTTTCCCTTTAAATAGGGAAGCTCCCTCTTTGGAATAAGCATGGGCCAGAGATGTTTCCTGTGGTTTGGCGTCCCTTTTTCCTGGGTATGCCTTTAACCTTGACAAAATAAACTTCAAAAATGATGGAGACCCGCCTCAGTCAGTTTCTCTTTGATTTACAACACTAAGCCTCGTGAAAAGCTCTTTGGAGAGCATAGGCCACACACATTTTTTGTGGCTCATGTTTTTCCCAGGTGCACCCTCAAACTCTCCATATGTGTTGATTGAGGTTTATCAACTCAATAAACCTCAATTGATTGAGACCTGCCACAGTCCCTTATTTTGGTTAACAGTACCCAGACCTCAAATCGCAGTCTCCAGAGCAGGGCTGCAGCACCTGCGTGGGTGACCAGCCTGCAGGTGATTCTCATATACAACAAAGTTTGGTCTTTCTCCAGCAGACTGCCCCTGCCACTGGAGTGTGACCACTTAGGAAACCCGCAGAGAAGAGGAGAAGCAACCTCACGACCATGACAATGACCACAGAAGCTACGGGGCTGTGCTGGAGCCTGGCACTTCACAGTTCACAGCACCCCACGGACGTCCCTGCAGGCACTGCTGATTTCCAGATGTTGCTCAGCAGGGCCAGTTCTCTGTGCCTCGCCACTGCCCTTCACCAGTGGCACAGATCAGAGAGGCTCAGAGGGTTGGCAGTAGATGGGATGGACAGGTCGGAGTAAATCTACAGTATGAGCCCTGAAGAGAGGCATGAGAAGGACTCTTGCCGTCACTACACACAGATGCATCGCCTGGACACAGGAGCGTGTGCATGTCAGAGGGGGCTTTTTTCTGGACATGCTCTAGTGGTTGTGGCCTTACTGCAAAGCAAATGCAACCTCTGTGACTGTCCCAGGTCCCCTCTCCTGCCTCCGTAGACCATCCCTCTGGTACCTGAGCACCTGCAGTATGCCTGGCACCCCCTTTCACCACATCAGTACAATCAGAGATAAGCCTCCCAGTGGTCCTCAAAGATAGAATGATGATCCCCATTGTACAGAAGAAGAAACTGAGGCTCAGAGAACTTTCCTCGTCAGTAAGTGACACGGTTGGAATTCAGACCCAAAGGTGTGTTTGTTCCAGCCTGCATTATGCTGTGATGACCTTTTTGGAATGTGTGTGGGGAAGGGGAGGTACACGTTTCTAGCCTCCAGAATCCCAGAGAGCCCATTGTGATGAGAGTCAACGAAATACTTCATGCCTTTGGTTCGTTCTAGAAAGCAACCCTGGGGTGGGTGTTTTGGGGAAGCAAAGCCTTAGGTCTCCAGGAAAACCAGAGGGGGTCAGAGGAGGAATTGAGGATTTAACACTTTTCATGGAGGTATATTTAGTAGCTGTGATTGTTTAGCTCAGAGAGAAGCAATAGGACTAGAATGGCACCAACCCCCATTGCTCAGTGGGGGACAGCTGAAGGAAGAGCTTTTAAACAGTAGAACTTTCCCGAGATGGAATGGGCTGCCTTGCAAAGTAGTGAGCTCCCCATTCCTGGAGGCATGCACACTAAGATGGATATTCATGGGGCAGGGGATCCCTGGACTGAGTGGATGTCAGAAGTGATGCATCTGGGGCCTCAAGTCTTGGCAGGTCTGATTGTTTAACTCATGACCCTGAAGTACTGCAGTTGTCCTAAGTGCCTTCTGAATCCTCAAAGCAACAGGCAGACCTGCTCTGTGTGCCTCTTTTTTTTTAAAAGAGCAATTTTAGATTCCCAGCAAAGTTCAGGAGAAAGTGTGGAGACATACCACATCCCCGGTGTTCACACATGCATAGTCCCTCCCATTACTGACATCCCCGACAAGAGCAGTCCATTCGTTGTAATTGACGAACCTGCACTGACACGTCATCATCACCCAAAGTCCACAGTTTTCCTCAGGGTTCACTCTTGGAGATGGACATTCTGTGGGTTTGGACAAATGCATAATGATATGCATCTACCAGTATAGTACCACACAGAAGTCTCACTGCCCCAAAAGCCCTCTGGGCTCCTCCAGTTCTCCCTGCCCCACTACCACCCCTCGCCACCTCCTGGCAACCACTGTTTTTTTTTTTGTTGTTGTTTACTCTCTGCATAGTTTTGCCTTTTTCCAGCATGTCACCTATAGTTGAAATCATACAGCACATGCCTTTTCAGAGCGACTTCGTTTACTTAGTAATAGGCTCTGTGTGCTTTCTTATTGTCTGTTATGTGAGCAATATTTATTTATCATTTAACTATTCAGCATTTCAGCAGACACTGAGCCTTGTTGGACTAGGCATTGTTTTAGTGCAAAGGAGGCCACTGTAAGTGGGTAAACGAGGCCTCTGCTTTCATTCAGAAAACCAGAGTCCTCCGGTACTGTGATCTGAATGCTTGTGTCTCTCCAAAATTCAGCTGTTGAGACTTAATCCCCAAGGAGGTGATATCAAGAGGTGAGGCTTTTGGGAGGTGATTAGATCATGAAGTCCCCCTCCTTGTGAATGGGATTGGTGCTCATTAAAAGAGGCCTGGGAGAGCATGTTCACCCCTTCCACCATATGAGGACTCATAGAAGGTGCCATCTATGAGGACTAGATCCTCACCAGACATGGAATCTGCCAGTGCCTTCATGTTGGGCTTCCCAGCCTCTGACACTGTGAGCAATAAATGTCTGCTTTTCAGTAAATCCCCCCGTCTAAAGTATTCTTTATAGCAGCTCAAATGGACTATGACATTGGTCAAGCCTGCAGGGTTCCCCTGCCCTGCCCAGGTGGGCTCCTCCCTGACCACAAGCAGCACAGGTGAGGGGGCCACCCCCTTGTTACCTCTAGAGTCCCCAAGCTTGTTACAGAGTCAGTCACTATGTTAGCAGAGACCATGAGGCGCAGCTATTAGCTTGGTGCAAAAGTCATTGCGGTCTTTGGCATTACTTCTAATGGCAAGAACCACAATGACTTTTGCACCAAACTAATATTTTCACTGTTGGGTCCCACAGGCAGGCAACGAGATTCAAAGACCTCAGACCCCGTGTGCCCAGCCACGGGATCCTCCACCTGTTTGCAAGGGAGGGAATCCCAAAGAGACTGAACCCCAAAGAGGTTGAGGCATTTCCCGGGACAATGAGTGAAGGGTTGGCTGAGATTGTGTCCCCGCTCTGAGACTCAGTTTCCTCATCTGTGCAGTGAGAGGCTTGTAGTGCAGGGTTGCAGGGAGAGCTGGGATGAGGCCTGGGGTCCTGCATGTATGTGGGGGCAGCACGCATGCTTCCTCTTTTTCACCCAAAGACGCCTTCTCCTGTCTCTCATGCTCCCACCCCAAGCAGGGAAGCAGCAAATGCTTCCTCCAAGCTCATGGAACTCACAGCTGTGGAATGTCTCTTGCTGCTCCCAGGGCCCGAAGGACACAGCACCCCAGGCAGCAACCGTTAGCAATGTCCTCTGAGGTCGCTCACCTGTCCCCCCACCACCTAAGCCCTTCTCCAACTCAGAAATGGAATAAGAGGTGGGGTTGACCCGGGAGCCCCCCATCACCCCACACCTGGGCCAGGGCTGCCACTTCCTGCAGGCTGGGGAGCCACAGGCGGCCTGTGACTCAGTGAGGCACATTCTGACCTGCCCGGAACAGCAACACCCGCTGCCCACCCCCACCCAGGCTTCGGAAGCAACTCGAATCACGGCTGCCATTTATTTAGCGCCTATGACATGCGTGGTACCGCACGGGCAAGAGCCCACCACTATCTTTGCATAAAGAGGAACTGCCAGGTCTTCTTTATGGCTCAGGAGACAGGGACAGAATGATTTGCCCAACAACATCACCCACAGGGTGAGAGCAGAGCTGGAACTCCAACCCGGGCTGGATGCAGAGCCCATGCTCAGAACACCTGCACCATCCTACCCCTCTGCTCCGGCCAGCCAGGACCATGGGAAGAGCGTCGCTAAAACCATCTGAGACAAATCAACCATCACTTGCCTCCTGGAGGCACATCAGCCAGCAGTCACAAGCCCCTCCTGTCCGATTCTCATTTCACCCTGCCATCCCCAGAGAGCCAGTGAGCAGGCTGCTTTGCAGACACATAAACTGAGGCTCAGAGAGGTTGAGTAGCTTGTCCAGGGTCACACAGGGCCAACGAGCGGCACAGTCGTGAGTGAAACACCAGGTTCTGGAGCCTCCAGCCGGCACCTGTCCCTGCTGCACCACGCCTCGCTGCTTTACTCCAGTGTCCACTCAAAGTATGTGAAAATCCAGTCACGGAATCCCTCACACACACCAGATACACACAAGCCTGTCTGTCACCTTGATTCACAGAAGAGACCCCTACAACAGACAAACAGGGCAATTCTTCCTCCTGGGAACCTTCCCCCCATCGCCTGTCAGACCTCCCCTCCAGAAGGAAGGGAACTTTTCCCAACTCCCGTCCACCAGAGGGAAGCTTCTCCCTGCTGCCTGCCCTTCCTCCCTCTGTGCTGGGACAGCTTGTCCTCCCAGCAAAGGTAAGTCGGCTGGACCAACCCCTGCCCGGCACCCACCTTCTCTGGAGCAAGCGGCATGGACACTTCAGTCGCTCCCTGGGTACTGTGGGGCAGCCTGATGTCCCCACCGTCCCCACCCCTCCTCGGAGCCCAGAAGCCAGAGCTGGAGTGGCGGCGGGAACAGCTCATCTTTCAAGGGCTGGGTGGTGATGTCATCAGCCTCCTGGGCACTTCCCCCTCCGCCTCCAGCCCAGCTATGCGCCCTGCCCAGCCCGAGCCAGGCTGGCTGTGGGCCCAGGATGGCTGTGGCCACCTCGTCTCCACTCCACCACCTTCTGAGCCCTGGGGACCGGCGAGGCTCTTGGAAGATTTCCACGTTTGTGCAGCCCGGCTGCCCATTAGAGTCGTGGGGTGGCAAAAGCGTCCCTCCCGGCTGACTACAAAGTGGCCTGTGAAGCACCACGTGAATAAATTTGCCTCACATAACATTTATTTCTTATCATTTATTTTCCTGAGGTGGTTGTTTTGTGTCTGAGTTTTGGGTGTAAACAGTGGGCGTTTATGCGGAAGGTGTAAACAGAGGGTGGCCAGGTGGGCAAGGGGAGTCCTGGGATTTCTTTGTATGCCCTGTATGGCTCCCAAGGGTGACAGTGGCAGAAGTTGTCCTGTTTCCTGGGGAGGGGTGTTTGCACTCCCCTGAGACATGGGGCCGTTTCTTTGGAAATGTTTGGTGATGGTTTCCTCCCATGTCAACACTCAGACTGGCTTTCTCGGTTTTGCTCAAAGTCTTACTAACAATCTGCAGCACTTAACACTCCAGGGGCTGAGAGAGTAGGAGCTGGAAAGGGCAAGGACTTCTCCTCCCCCTCCCCTTCCCCTTCCCCGTCCCCTTCCCCTTCCCCGTCCCCTTCCCCTTCCTCGCCTTCGCCTTCCCTTTCCTTCCCTACCTTTCCTTTTTTCTTTTCCTTTCCTCCTCTCCTCTCCTCTCCTCTCCTCTCCTCTCCTCTCCTCTCCTCTCCTCTCCTCTCCTCTCCTCTCCTCTCCCCTTTCCTCCTCCTCTCCTCTCCTCTTCTCTCCTTCTTTTCTTTTCCTTCTCTTTTTTTTGAGACGGAGTCTTGCTTTGCTGCCAAGCTGGAGTGCAATCTCAGCTCACTGCAACTTCTGCCTCCTGTGTTCAAGCGATTCCCCTGCCTCAGTGCAGGGGACTACAGGTATGTGGCCCCATGTCCGGCTAATTTTTTGTATTTTAGTAGAGACGGGGTTTCACCATGTTGGCCAAGATGGTCTCGATCTCCTGACCTCGTGATCTGCCAGCCTCGGCCTCCCAAAGTGCTGAGATTACAGGTGTGAGCTACCATGCCCAGCCTGGGACTTTCAAAACATTTTGTTTTAAGTTTTAAAACGCTTTCTTCAAAAGAGAAGAGATGAGTGGGTCCAGTGGACCTGGGGAAGAGATAGGAGGGCCAGAAGACCTCCCTCCAGCCCATCAGCTCCCCTTCCCTGTGGCTTGATTCATGTCAAGTCTAAAAACCAGTGAGCAAGTGTTCACGAAGGCAGGGAAACAGAGTCCCTGATAAGTTTACGGGAGGCTGCATGGGGCCCTTCCTGACACACCTCTTGCCTGCCTGTTTTCTACCACGCCTGGGAATTTTTCTTGGTGGTCTGAGAGCATCAAGAGGCAGAGACCCCGCCTTACTTATTGCTATTTATCACCTGGCACGTAGGAGGCGCCCTCTGCATGGAGCACAAGCAGTCCTTGGGAAAAGTGCTCCGGCCGAACCGCACTGGGGTGAAGGAAAGACCGGGCCAAACAGAACAGCATAGAAATGGGCTGTAGACATATATATACATGTTTGTTTATGAACGGCCACCCTCCACCCTGCTGTTCCAGAACATTCTCTCCACATGTCTGTGAGGCACAGGTGCTTCCGGGAAGGCCTCCAGGAGTGGGCTGTGCTTTTGTCCAGAACGCCACAGTGCTGACCAGAAAGCCACTCCCTGGTCACACATGTCAGACAGACCAGTGGGAAAACTGGAATGCAGGGTCAGAGGGTAAGCGCTGATTTGGGGTTCATGGCAAAACTCATGCAGAGCCTGTAGTTCCGCCTGGTTGGCACTGACGCCCACACCTAAGAACTCTGTAGAGCCTCTGAGTCCCCAAAGTGCCTCCCAGCCCAAGTGCCCGTGACTGCCGTCTCCAGCCTGCCTTCTCTGCCTCAGTCTCCCTCCCCAGAGACCTTCTGCACAGCCTTCGGGGGCACTGTCCTTTGGCACACGCGTGAGCCCCCCAGCCTTGGCCCGCATGGCTGCTAGCTGTCAAGTGATCTCTGTACCAGGCCCTATGTAAGCACATGACCCTTCACAACAGCTGGATGAGATGGTTACCAGTCAGTATCTTCTACAGATGGGGAATCAGAGGCTGAGAGAGGTTACTTAACTTGACCTAAATCCTGCAGATTGGAAACAGCAGAGCCAAGAGTTGCACCCAAGTCTGACTCCATAGCTGCATATCTTCCCTTCCCCCAAATGAAAATGCAGCTTTTTAAAAAAGATGATCATGGCCAAGCATGGTGGCTCATGCCTGTAATCCCAGTACTTTGTGAGTCTGAGGCGCATGGATCATCTGAGATCAGGAGTTCGAGACCAGCCTGGCCAACATGGCAAAACCCAGTTTCTCCTACAAAATACAAAAAGTAGCTGGGCGTGGTGGCATGCATCTGTAATCCTAGCTACCTAGGAGGCTGAGGCGGAAGAATCGCTTGAACCTGGGAGGTGGAGGTTGCAGTGAGCTGAGACTGCACCACTGCACTCCAGCCTGGGCAACAGAGTGATACTTTGTCTCAAAGAAAGAAAAAAGCTGATCATATACATAATATGGATGTGTTGTTTCTCTATTATTTGAACTTGATGTGTACGATAAAAAGTAAAAATGGCCTTGCACAGTGGCTTATGCCTGTAACCCCAGAACTTCGAGGATCACCTGAGGTTGGGAGTTCGAGACCAGCCTGACAAACACGGAGAAACCCCGTCTCTACTAAAAATACAAAATTAGCCAGGCATAGTGGCACATGCCTGTAATTCCAGCTACTTGGGAGGCGGAGGTTGCAGTGAGCTGAGATCGCTCCATTGCACTCCAGCCTGGGCAACAGGAGTGAAATTCTGTCTCAGGAAAAAAACCAAAAACAGTGAAAATCAACTGAAAAGTGTACTGCTTGCAGATAATTAAGAATCTGATGCCAGCTGGGCACAATGGCTCACACCTGTAATCCTAGCACTTTGGGAGGCTGAGGCAGGTGGGTCACTTGAAGTCAGGAGTTTGAGACCAGCCTGGCCAACTTGGTGAAAACCCCATTGCTACTAAAAATACAAAAATTAGGCAGGCATGGTGACATGTGCCTGCAGTCCCAGCTATGCAGAAGGCTGAGGCAGAAGAATTGCCTGAACCCTGGAGGTAAACGTTGCAGTGAGCCGAGATCGCACCACTGCACTCCAGCCTGGGCTACAGAGCCAGACTCCATCTCAAAAAAAAAAGAATTTGATGCCATGTTTCTGTGTGTTTACATATATTTATTATATAGTGTTATATATGTGTGTACTTCAATATATCCCTCTGGACACGCACAGGATCATATTATATATGCTGTTGTAAATGGAATTTCTCCCTTTTCTATTGCTGTTTCTTCTTGCGCTGCTCTGCCTCCAGCCACCATCACTTCCTGAGCATTCACCAAAACCCATGACAGCCAGGCCAACTACAGAATTTATGGGGCTCTGTACATGAAAATGGGGCCCATTCTTCAAAACAGAGGAAAGAAGTGTCGGTAAAGATATTAAACCGTGAGACTTTTTCCTTTCTTCTGTGGTCTCTCCTTTGACCTGTGTTCTTTTTTGTTGCTGTTTGCCTGGTTGTTTGTTATTTTGAGACCTGGTCTCACTCTGTTGCCCAGGCTGGAATACAGTGGTGTGGTGTGATCTTGGCTCACTGTAACCTCCGCCTTCCGGGTTCAAGTGATTCTCTTGTCTCAGCCTCCTGAGTTGCTGGGATTACAGGCACCTGCCACCATGCCTGGCTAATTTTTGTATTTTTGGTAGAGATGAGGTTTCATCATGTTGGCCAGGCTAGTCTCAAACTCCTGACCTCAAGTGATCTCCCCGCCTCAGCCTCCCAAATTGCTGGGATTACAGGAGTGAGCCACTACTCCTGGCCTGTCATGGTGTTTAAAAAATTTTGCGATTTAATGTTCTAAGTAAAGAAAAATTAAAATGTTAAATTATCAGCATGCATTTTACCCTTCACCTTGATATCGCTCCATGCCAGTTATAAACACAAAGACCAGTGCATTTAGCTCTCATTTAAAACCACCAGGATCGTGAATTTCGGTTTCACAGCTTGCAGATGCACGTGTGTTTTGTTTTTACCAGGAGAGCAGACACACTGCAGAAACCAGCTCATCTGTTTTCCTTTCACTTCTTGACATGTGCCTGTTTCACCAGCACTCTTTACCTTCCTCTCACGGGGAGTGGGGGGTTGGGCTGAAAGAAGCAGGAACTCTGGGGCCCTGCCCTCCCCTTTCCTCCTAAGCACCATTTTCGGTGGGTGTGGTTGGCCAATGCAGGGAAATGACATGAGTAAGGAAGGGTGTGACTGGGTCTCTTGTCCTGGTGTCTGTTAGAATACCTTTGCCTTCTTTCGCGGTTGCCCTCTTTCTGCCTTTGAAGCAAGTCTTGGTTTGAATGGAAAGCGTGGCCTCCGGATGAAACACCTTGGACGCACTTTGAGCCTCTCTGAACCGGGCACCACCGCTTCCAGCAGAGAGACCTGAGGCGAGTTCTTAGAGAAATGAGCCCTACCCCTCAACTCCTGAGGTTGCTGGGCAAACAAGGGAGAGAGGGAATGCCCAGTTCCTCGCCCAGGACTTGGCAGGGACTTTCCCAATTCAGAGACTTTTCTCTATTCTAACACTAAGAAACAGAAGCGTGTAGATTTAATCTGCTATGATTCTTTCCCCTAAAAGCTGGCGTCTGACAAGTAGAGGTCCTTGATGTTAAGGAAATATGTGAAATCCTCTGCGAGGGTTTGTGAAATGGCTTTGGAAGATAAATGCTTAAAACAAGCCAAGTCCTGGCTCTTCCTGGTGCAAAGACCTTCAGAAGTGAGACGGAGAGGGACCTGAGACGGGGCAAGGTGAAGAAAAGAGGCCAGTCCTTCCTCCGTCCGTC